AAATAATAATGTCAACACCTAAATTGAGAAGGATCAAATTAGACTTTTACACCCAAAATAAAAACCTCAGACCAGTTAGTGTAGTATACCATTTAGTATAAATATTAAGGAGCAACTGAACTGGCAACATTTTTATTCCATGCTTAAAAGGATGTAATTATTTTTATTAAAGAGTTTAGAAATGCTTTATATGTGTAAATCAAACCAAAAGAAGCAGGAAATACTGGTGGTCCTTCACTATGCAAAAATGGCAGGCTACTGTTTTCAGCTAAGAGTGTTCTCACAGGTTAAGACGAGTGACAGTATCAGATTTGGTTACTCTCTCATAATAAAAGGGAATACATAATGATGCCACATTTCTTGGAATCAAGATCAGAGGTGCAGGCTCAAGAGTTTTCACAGGTTTTTTTGTTTTGTGGCAAACAGTTCTCTAGTTCACTTGTGCATTCAGACATGTTTGTGTTCATCTAAAAAGGTGGTGGTGAAAAGGAAAGGGAAAAAAGTCATGAAAATACCATATTGATTTTAGTGACACACACTATCCATCATAAACATCCAGTATACAGATTCACATCTTAATGCACTTAGCTACCTCTCTCTATAGGACAGCCTTTGACTCAGGTCCTAGGCTGGCCAGGTTTTTATTGTGAAATATCTGTCTTGAAGCTGGCAGAGGAAACAATGGTAAGACTGGGTTATGTATTTCTCTTTGTGCAGCACAGGCACACCTTTTGCTAGAAAAAAGAGGGTTTGTCCCTTCTTTGGGGACAAAGCTGTATTTTTCTCTAGATGGATGAACAGTTCTCTTTTCCTGGGAACTATTTCCAAAGAGAATCACTTCAAATAGGTTATAGAAAAATGTTAACTCCCAAATCTGCCTGATTCCTTCAGGTGAGCAACTCTGTGTTTGCCTATTAAAGTGAACACTTTTGTAGGGTATCATGTCTATCCATCTGCACAACCCTTATCTCGGGGAAGCGTGAGCTACTCTTTATTCATATGCCCTTCTGCTCAGTTCTCTTCCGTTTGCTTTCTGTAAAAAGGGTACAAAATCATTTTTCCACCTGAGATTGTCAATCACCAAATTCTAGCATTTATGGTTTGATTATAAAATGTACTGAAGATTTACTTTTCCCTCTAACTTCCACGAGGGCTTAAGAAATTTTGAAAATTCAAGCTCTAGATTGCCTAAACTGGACAAACAAAATTGATGTACAGGGGTGCTTTGTTTGTTTGTTGAGGTTTGTAGCAGGGTTTTCTTGCCACAACCACCTTGCCCCAAGTTACAGAGGTAGGTGATGTTAAAGTCAGTCAGTACTCAAACATTGCCTTAAGAAAGACGTCATAGTTTGAGATCCAGACATCTGGTCATCATTAACCATCACTGTTCACACATGATATTTTATTTAGACTGAACCAACAGGTAGACAGTAATTTACATCCTGCAGCCAGTGGGAAGAAGTCTGGTAAAATGTACAAGTGATCATGAACAGAAATGTCTAGCAGGTTCAGCTCTGGGGTGAGGCGACATTTTAAAAAGGAAGTCACTCCTTAGTGATTTTCCTGGCTTACAATAAGGAGGCTTCACCTCAGCTCATCAGAGAAGTGGTGTTAAGGTACCTTTGCCACTGAATGTCGGGCTGTATGTAAAGATTTTGCAATACAGATGTTGAGCTTCTTTGCAGTTTTCTTTGCTGTTACTTATTATGTCTATCCTATAAAATTTTCTGTGAAAAAAAACTTACAGCATTACTTCATTCAATTGCAGTTGGCACTGTGAAATGTTAGATTAAGAGCTGTCTGGCAACCAAGCACCCCAAGAGTTTTCCTGTGTGTTTCCCTAATTTTGCCAAAGATTAAAATGTCATCACTGCCACTAGGGACATTGGGAATCCACTGAGTTATTCTGCGGTTTATACTTTGAAAAGTTTTAGAAGCTAAATATATTTCAAACATTCATCTCTTGTACTTGGTATTTCAAAACTTCATGAATTCTCTTCCTGAACTCAGGTTAATAACTGATGAAAGATCACTAATTTAGCAGACCTCCACTTCAGAGGTTCTATTTTAAACTTCAGCTCCTTTATAGTTTTTCCTAGTCTTCAAGAGCTTTCTGAACTTGTACAAAGTTTAGGAAAGTCTCTGATACCGCTGCATACTTGGGCAGAAGGATTAAACAGTGAGACTGATAAAGTGATCTTGTGGGATCAAAGAAGATGTGGGTTTTTTTGGATGACATTGAAACTGAAAGTGTTTCACAATTCCAGAAAAAGGAAAGGGAAAGGGAAAGGGAAGGGGAAAGGGAAGGGGTAGGGGAAAGAGAATGGGAAGGGGTAGGGGAAGGGATCCCCCTGTTATCTTTCAGCATTAAGAAAATTATGGAAGTATAACAAGCCAGGTGGGGGAGCAAATTAAGGCATTTTTGTTTCCGGTTCTAAGAAATGTCGGTGCACTTTATCTCCATAAAGTTCTTCTCTACTTAACCCATCTTTTTGCTTCTGCAACCTGAACATCAGTAGGGTACCAGGTGTGCAAACTGGACCGAGGTGACAGGCTTGTATAGAGGTTTTTGCTTTGCTTCCTTTCCAGGGAAGCAGTTCATGGCTTTCCTTGTTTCAGCTAAGCACTGAATAAAGCCTTCAAAATTTGTTCCCTTTTCCATTACAGATACAAAAGCCTCAAATGCCTCAGGTTCTGATCAGTGTATCTATTTCACAGATTTTTGCTCATAAACTGTGTCCTAATTTCATTAATATTTTTCATTAATTCTTTCAGGGAGAATTTTGCTTGTGCTTTATCATATTCTCCACGAAGACAAAATAACCATTGAAATCAATTTTGTTTCACTTTTCAGTGCTTTCTCTGCCTGACAGCTGGATAAAATCTCATTGAGCTTGTGGACATACAGGCTGTCCTTCAGTTGTGATATACATAAGAAGCAATTCTCTTGCCTGTGTGCACAGACAGCAGAAGCATAGCAGATGCAGACAGCTACAGTCAGAGGATCACTGGCAGAATAAACCCAAGAAAAAAAAGATCTTTCTGAATACTGTACTGCTGAAAACCTACCCTAAAAAAACCCCCAAACCCACACACACACACACAAAAAAAAGGCACAAAAAACTAGTCAGCTCTGGTGACATTTCCGCATTTTTTGATGTTTTTGTAAAATGGGATTTGTTTCAAAGAAATGTGATTATTATAATTAATGTTGTCTTCTCATAGAAGCAGAAACAAGTAAAAAGGCACCAAATATTGACGAACAGCTCATATGAAAAAAAACAAAGGATATTTGTATCACAGAATTTTCTTTCCCTGCTACTGGTCACTTCTTGTTTTTGAGTTTTTAGCTCATCCAGCGTCAAAAGATAGCACATTTTTAGCCAAAGAAACCAATGCACTTGATGACAAAGAAGACATTAAGGAGTCCAGCTTAAGAGTTAACATCAGTAATTTTACTTTGAGCACAAGTGTTGTTCCCAAAACAGATATTATTAATGTGGGCTATTAAAAATAAAAGCAAAATCTGATTAAAAAATTATACGATGGAATTGTAGTTTACATAGAAAAACCAAGTAAAATCTCCATCAAACTTGGTGATATGCTGAAAAAAAACCCCAGAACTTTAGTTCTCATTTTGAAACAGTTTTCTTCTGATCTATATTCAAACTTACTGCATGACTGTCAGAGTCATTCATGTGTCTTCATCCTGTATTTCCATTCCTCATCAAAGCATGAATTTTTACGAGATTAATCTTCAGTATAAAGAACATGCAAAAACGTTTTCAAGTAGCAGGGAAATACAGGTAAGCCACGGTACTCCAGCAGAAACTATTAACTTTCAGCATCCTTAACACTAATTAGCTTTAAGGTAATTGAGATCAGTTCATGTCTCACTGGGACAAGAACCTTATTTTTTTCAAAGTCTATCATCAAAACTTCTATCTGCAGTGAGAACTCTATGAATTGAATGGGATTCCATCTCACTTTCTGTAGGCTGCTGAACATATTCTTTATAATTTTAAATTCAAACCTCTCTGGGATAGCCTCATGAAAATAGAGTATTTCATTGGCTGCATAAAGGAGTAACAAAGCTGTTACCCCTTTCTGGTCAATTATATCGATTGTGATTCTGACATTTTCAAATGTATTTCTCCATTTACTCCAATTAAACTAAGCAGATTTTAAGAAGATTGTCCTGGACTTCGAAAGACGTGCAATGAGCCAGCTCACTTGTAGTTGTGTCAAAGTTAATTAATTTTTCTAAATCTAAAATGACCAGGGATGCATTCTGCTTTCTGTTTTGAATTAAAATCACTTTTTCACTGCCGTGTTATTCCTAGTTTGTATTGATTTTAGGTTCAAAGAGCATTAACTTCAATTCTAAATTTTCTTTTAACCTGTAGAGAAGATGGAGGCATCACAAGCTCTGCTTAGAAATTTCCCCAAGGGGCTCATCCAAAGCTTAACAAAACATTTTCAGTAACTTAATTTCACTTGATTTCTTTGAAGAACTTTCTCTTTTATCCATCAGGTTCAATTTTTTGGGAATGCTTTTATTCAAGCGCAAAATATCCCAAACTAAGAGTAGTAATCTTTTAGCTGGAATTATTTGAATATTTGCAAATGCCCCAAAGCAAAAACAGAAAAGAAAAAAGAAAAAAAAAAGAAAAAAGAAGAAAGAAAAAAGCTAAGTAGATATTTAAGAGTAGTTTTCATTTAAAAAAAATAAATCTGTGGTGGCTTAGCCTTGACTGACAACCAAAATTCCACCCAGCTGCTCAGCTACTCACCTCTCTCAGTGTGGTGGGGGAAGAAAACAGGAAAAACAAGAACAAGAATGTTCCCGTGTTCACATAAGGACAGGGACATCATTTATCAGTTACCTTTGTGGACAGATTCAAGTTGGGGAAAATTAAACAAAATTATTGTCAATCAACGTACAAATTTAATTGAAAAAAAAAATACACAAACTTTAAAACAACACTTCGCTTCCTCTTTTTCCCAGGGTTAACTTCACACCTCCAGTTCAGGGCAGCTCAGGGGGTCGCAGCTGGCACTCAGCAGTTTCTCTCTGCAGCTCCCTCCTTCTCACATCTTCCCTCTGCCCCAGCGTGGGCTCTCCGTGGTGGCAGCTCCTCTGGGAACAGCCACATGCTATGACATGGAGTTCTGCACAGGCTGAGGTGGATGCTTGCTCTGGTGCCAGGGAATACCTTCTCCTTCCTCCTGCTCCTCTGACCTTGCCTCCTCTATTTCTCTGTTTGTTCCCTCTTCCTGTCTCCATTTGGCACTTTCAGCCTCTCCTTTTATATGTGACTCTGGGACTCAGCCATGCCCTGGAGAGGGTCAGATGGAGTTGGCAGGAACCAGCTGTGTCTGGCATGGAGCAGATCCAGCCCCTCTTCACAGAGACCACTCCTTGACACCTGCACCCAATACAAATGCAAACAAAATATTTAAATCAAAGTTTACCCTCTGGGCCAGTTCTTGGCTTCTATGGGTTTTTTTCGCACCTGCAGTTAATTTCAGCCAGTGAGATCTGTAGCTGAAGTGGAGGAGCCATCACAGTCAGCCTTCCAGCTTGTACCACAAGCATGCTTTTTAGGGAGCAAATTTAGGGATCACCCCAATTTACTGTGCCACAGCTCACACAGTGGCGCGGGCTCAGAATATACAAACCAGGTTCCCTGCAGCAGCACCTCACACACAAGGGAGGCCCCAGGGCACCTCTAGGCTGAGAAAACCCCAGGCACAGCTCTGGAGTAGGGCTGAGCTAGTCTGAGACCAAACTGCACGACTGAGGCATGGGCAAGGCATGAGCGTGGGCACAGGTACGGATGTGGGCAGGGCAGGGCATGGGGATGTCTGTCCACACCAACTGCTTTGCTGCCTGCCATGCTGCACCTCTTGGCAGTGCACAGATCCACTTACAGAGTGCCAAAAACATTGATATTTGGTCTGTGGTCTGTCACACTCCTCAAAATATTCTGCCCAGTGTGATACAATGCCTGCTTGCTGGGCTAGATGTAACGAGCTTGACAGTATCAATCTAAAACCAAGTGAGACAAAAGCCATGTGACCGAAAAAAGATAAAAAATACAAGCAGGTTTGACGCAGTAATTACCCCTATGATAGCTCTTTTTAGGTAAGGTACATTGATGATGACAATGTAGGGAAATTTGCCTTTCTAGTACTGTTTTCTGAACAAAATTCCCCACAGCTGTCAATCAGGTCATTTTATACTCACGCTAAATTAGCACCATTTATTTTAACAGTGTCTTTTATACAGTGCTGAAAGGTGAACAATATTTTAATTCAACCTTGAGAATATTCTGGTGTGTTAAATGTTCCTATATTTGTGTAGTCTTTATTTCTTAACTAAAAGTCTCGGACATTTGAGCTTCCTTTTCTCAGCCTGGTCCTTATCTGTAGACCATAGCCTAACAAGCTCTTTTTATTCTTTTTACTTTAGAATTATGAGTGAATGATATTTTCACTTTGATCACAGTTATATAGATTTCATTTTCATTTTACTGTTTAGCTGTAAGGTGTTGTCTGCTTCGTATAATACATCATATTTAGATATTTTGTTTTATTAAAACAGCAAACGGCTTTTAAAATGACTCTTGTAGCTCTCCTGCACTGTCTATAAAATGCTGTAAGTCTGAGTGATGCATGGGACCTTGCATAGGCTTGTTAGTACTATAGGCAGTTTTGCAAAGAAGCTATGACAACATAAAGCTGAGTATTTCAAAGGTAGTTCTCAGGCAAATGAATTTCTTGTCAAAGAGGAGCTACAAAATACAGTGTGCTAAAGCAGGGTATGCCAGGAAGTGGTCACTGAGTTCAAGGATGATTTTAAATTCCAATCCATCATGAACTTTTAAATATTCTCGTGGAAAGAGAGAAGGCTTGGATTTCCATTCCTATTCCAGTGACTTATTTTATCTAATAATAATCAGAGTTACTGCTTCAGGCAAAGACTGTGGCCTGTGTTTCATCTTTCAGTGCCCTGATCCCTTGGCTGAAACCTCATGCTCCCCAAGAAGCAATGAGAAGCTCTTTCAAGAAGCAATATTATGCTCACTCTTCTCCTGCCTGTCCCACATTAAATGAGCTGTGTTTGACACAAAACCATGAAAGGTGGCAAAATTTCTGTGTCACAAGTTGGGCCCTCTCAGACTTGCCTGTAATCTACCACAAAGGATGCTCTGAAAAGTATTGGTCATGTGGGTTCCAGACCTGGAAATGCAACAGAGGCTTCCTAACTCTTTCAGTTTAGAAAGGCACAGCTTTGGGAAAACAAAAACAGGAAGTAATCACTTGCATGATTAGATTTATAATAGATGGTTGCGATTTTTTAATTATTTTTTTTTAAATATTTCAGGTTTGCTCAGGTCTTTTGTTTTCTTTCTTGTATTACTGTCAGGTGATCTGGTCTCATAAGACGAGCTGAACTATTACAGTAAGATTTGCACACAGTATGTTCAGTAAAGTGTTTAATTCTTCTGTGCTTGCCACGTTCTTCCCAAGCCATCCAAATGCCTAGATGGTGGGTTTTACGAGCTTGAAATTCTCTCAGTGTCTGAGCTTTCACCATCTTCACGCACAGATGCAGACACCTTTGACTCACTGAAGCTACTTGTTGAGCCCAGAGCTTTTTTCAGAGACAGAATCTGGCAGTAACATCTGTTTCCTGAGGATTCCCACAAGCACACTTGGCACGAGCTCTAAGTTGGACCACCCTGGACCCTATAACCTATTGGTTACTGTATTGTACAACCTCTGCTTCCTGAAGTGCCTGAGCTCTTCATTAAATCTCAGCTTAACCACTCTGTCCTCAGCTGAGCTTTACATAACTGCATGGGAGACAGGCTTGTAAGATTAACAAAGTTTGGCAAAATCTCAGAGGTATCAAATCAATCTGGAAGTACTTTAAATTTGTAACTCGAGAAGACTTTTCTGTCTGGTCTCCTGATTAGAAAAAATAATGTGTATGGAAAATTTAATTTGTGGGGATTTTTTGTTTTGTTGGGTTTTTTTTTCAGTGAACACTCAGATTTCATTCCATACCACTTTATCCACCCTTTATTGAAAGGTCTTTATATGTCTTTTCATCAGACATACAAATTGGATAATGTCAGACCTCTCTGTAAAAAGTGAAAGAAATGAGTGAGCCTTTGCTAGTGAGCAAACCTATTCAATCAGCTTCTGTGTAGAAGCAGTTTTCAACATTAGCAACTGGATACCACCCATTAGCATGACTTAGTGCAGCTGTGAAATGTTGCCAAACTTATGTAATACAATTATTATGTGGCAGCATTGCATAAAATAAACCAGGGCTGCCACTGTAAGCTCTCATTTGTAACAATTCTGTTTTTAAGAGCTGATGAAGACCATCAGGCAGTTCTGTGGTAAAGGTAGATCTGGGAAAGCTCAAAGAGTCCCATGAGGATAAATAAAAAATTGCAGTACAAGACATCTTATCAAATTTATAGCCTGTCGCATTTCTGTGTTGGTTCTTGCTTTCCTGGAGAAAAATGACAAAACATTCCTTGCTCTGCAATTAAATAAACATGAATTCTCAATATTTGCACGTCAGAAATCAGGCTACAGAAACTTATTGTAGTTCTTTGCTGACTATTCTGATAAAAATAATGCACAAAACTTGTTGATTTAAATAAGATAAACTTTCTATTAGTCTAATCCTCTAAGCAAGAAGGAAAAAAACAGAGATGATTTCTTTTAAATTCTGGTAAGGGTTTTTTATACAAGAGCCAGGAGACCATATACTGTATGCGTAAACAGACAATTTAGAACAAACTCACTTTAAATAAAGATCTGTGAATCCAACCAGGACCTCAGAAATGATTCCTAGAATACTGAATTGTGTTAATCCACAAGATCTTTACAATGCATGTGCTTCCAAAGTCTCAGACAATTCTATGCAGTTTTAACATTTAAATATGTGAACTTATTTCCCCCACATTAACGTAATAATAAAAGATATATTGCTTCCTCACCTCATTCACGGTTTTATGTTTTGTGGCCATACTTTGGAAGCTTTGCTTAGGGCAGATCCCTGCTACTGCAATCAAATCTTAATCTGTAGACAGCTAAGTGGAGTTTTAAGTGGAGCTTTGTTCCCCCCTCATTATTTTTTAAGTCTTTCTTTGTAGACCTTGTGTCTTTCACCATTCACTTAACTACCAAATACCACTTGCAAAGACAGATGAACTAATAAAAAAAGTTCATTCAGTATATTCTTTTGAGCCAAGTCACAACATTTCTCTTTTTTTTTGCTTTTCTTCCTTTTTTTTTTTTGATCCCTACTAAAAAACACTGCTAGCTGAAGCCTGTATCACTTAATTCTGTGATTTTATCCCTCATTAGTAGGGTATTTAAAGCACTCTTCTTTCATGACAGCATTTTATCTCACTGAAACTTTTCACTTCTTTACTGGAGAGGTTCTTCACAGCGTACTGCCTGCACTAACCTCATGTGTTAAGAGGCAGAGATGTGAGGAACCAGTCACCTTGTGTAGGAGTGTTATGTCCTGTAACTTATGTTTTGCTGTTGACTAGTTACACTGGGTTTCTACCCCAGCTATAGGATGAGCAGGATCACTTCTGATGGTGTCAAACCTCACAAATTCTTAGACAACCCACTTAATTTTAAGGACACAGTACAGGGAGCTCCAGAGGTCAAAAAACAGATAGTTTCTTTGTTAGACCCAAAATATTTCTGGAGCACTGCTATATTCTTCCTAAAAATATCACACAACTTTCAGATGAAAAGCTAAGTACTGGCTGTGGAGCTCTTTCTACAATCAGTTTGTCAAAAAAGGTTCTGTGTTCTTTGTGCAAACCCCTATTATTGAGCAGATGTGATCTCAGAGTTTGCTGCCACCAGAAGGTAGAAAAGTCCTTTTCCGCCATGCCCTGAGGCTACAGGGTCATGCCAGTTAGCTTTTGCCCCTTATGGACCACTGTGTGAGTCAGTTTAAGTCACTAAACAGCAGGAACAGCATGTGGATTGATTTCTGCTGGATTAGTGAGCTCAGATTAGGAACAAAGCACAGCAACCTGGGCAAGGGCAGAGATACTTAATGTGCTTATTTGATAGGTGAAAGGAAAAACTGGACTTAAAGCAAGTTCAGATCAGCCCAGAATTTTTCACAATTGTTTGTGAAAGAATTGAGGTGCTAATTTTCTCCTTAATCTGCTCAAAAAAAACCCCAACATGACAAAAAACCTATAATGAGGATTTGGGGCTTTAATTTTCTGTAACGACTCCTGAAGTGCAAAGTCTATCATGCGTTTAGGCAGAATTCAAATGAGATGCAGAGAAAAGGAGGGTTACCATGGAGTTATATATAGTGTCATCACCATCACCTGGATGCACTTATTTTCCCATTTGAAGTCCA